TCCAGAAAAATACGTACAGAATTTATCCAGTAAAAAACTAACTCGAATTGAAACTGAAGCACTCTCCCTTGGATTTAAATTTCGCATCCCGAAAAAATGTAACAGAATAGACACTGAAACCCAGTTTTAGTATTTATATCAACAATTGTCAGAACTTAAACCCATGAACGATGAAAAACATAGTTGGTTGAAATTGAAATTAGTTGACATTACAAACCAGTACATAACGACACCAACCCCACAATCGAAGGTGTTGACTAAAGATCACCAACTAGCATTAAAAAACTTGTGAAAGATGAAACAATATTGCTACTTCGTCCAGATAAGGGTTCCGGTGTAGTCGTTCTTAACAGAGATGAATACATTAGCAAAATAATGTCTACTTTAAATGATTCCACTAGATTTATCATCGATAATGCCCAGAAAGACTTAACAGAGACGACAGAGAAGCGACTTTTAAAAAAATTGAGAGAACTCCTGAAGAAAAATCCAATAGATAATCATACATACAATGAACTTAAACCTAAAGGATCACAATTACCGTACTTATACGGCCTACCAAAAACTCACAAGCCCGACATCCCGATTAGACCAATATTATCCATGGCTAATTCGCCCTTCCATAAGCTCGCCCGCTGGCTGAAAGGTGCCTAGAACCAATCCGAAAGAAACTAACACCTTACAGTCTAAAAGATAGTTTTGAATTCGTACAAAAGTTCGACAACCTAAATGTTTCCGATAAATTTATGGTTTCATTTGACCTCTTCACAAACATCCTTTTGGAAGAAACGATAGAGATCATATGTGAATATCCTGAACTTCTACCTCTACCAATCCATGATTTTAAACAGCTCCTCTTTTTGTGTACAAAAAACATACAATTTCAAGTCAATAATGTCCTTTACCGTCAAATTGATGGAGTTGCCATGGGCAGCCTGTTGGGCCCAATTCTCGCCGATATATTTATGGGAAACCTGGAACTAAAAAAGCTTAAGCATGCAATCGATGGTTTTGCAATGTACTGTAGACATATTGATGACACATTCCTCGTCTGCAACAATCATGAGCACGCCATTAGACTACTTGATATGTTTAATAAAACTCACAAGGATAAAGAATTTACTATGGAACAAGAAGTTGAAGGTAAATTCCGTTTCCTTGATATTGGGATCAAACTAACATCTGATGGCACAATTCATAGACATATTCATCACAAAAATATTTGGAGTGGACTATATCTCAATTACTATAGTTTCTGTCCAATGAGTTACAAAAAGGGTATTGTACGAACCCTTTTTGACCGCGCTCGTAAAATTTGTTCAAAGGAATGCTTGGATGACGAAATCACTCTCATCATTAATGTTCTACGTAAAAATGCACACCCATTGAAATTCATCCAGAAACATGCAAAAACCAATCTTCGGACAAAGTACGATGGAGTAGAAAAGAAAACCTGCTTCTTACATTTACGTTTCAAAGGAGGGGAAATTGCCGGATTAATTAATCACAGATTAACTTCTGCGTTGAAAGTGGCTTACCCAGCAGCAAAACTTATAACAGTATGGCAAACGAACTGCTCACTTAAACAAACTAAAATCGACAAGTCCTCTTTTCTTAGTAGCTCCAAATGTATTTACCAATTCACATGTACGTACCAAAGCACATACATTGGAAGAGCTGAGAGAAGAGTGCATGTCCGCATTTCTGAGCACGTTCCGAAGAACTTGAGGCTGTGAGGGACTAAGGCTCTCAACAGTGCAATAGCTCGGCATTTACTTGACACCGGGCACACCGTCGACATTTTGCACGCTTTTAAAATTATCAATAGACAAAGAAATACGACTACTCTCCGCTTCGCTGAAGCAATTACGATAAAAAAACTTAAACCGAATTTATGCACTCAAAAAGAGACAGTAATAAACTTATTATTACGCTGGTAATCCAATTTTTTGTTGGTTATTTGGGTTATTTTATTCATTTATTTATTTTAAAATATTTATTTTGTGTTATACTCCTCCCCTATTACCTAATTCTTAAACCAACTTATTATTCACACATTTCCACCACCTGATCCTCTTAAATTGTGTTAACTTTTCAAATTCTATTTAATTATTATTACGTAACCCATCTTATCATTATTCGATTCGATTAATCTCTAAAATTATCACACAGTTTATGAACTTCACTAAACTATTACACCATCCACTCTGAATTAATTCCCTTTTTAACCTCTGACCTGTTCTAGCATATATATATATATATATATATATATATATATATATATATATATATATATATATAATTGTAATTCAGTTATTTACACTCATTTATGTCAATTGTTTCTCACTATCTCAATGTAAAAATTCTATCACATTTTTTGTTTGTAAGCAGCTGTTGAGAAACCTCGAAATATTATGAATTCATACTATTCTGCACCAGTATTTGTTTGTGCTTTATTTAAACAATCACAACTTTAAAATAGCATTTGCATAAGTAAATAGTTGGCCTTCAATTTGAAGGAAATTTGATGAAGGTGGTAATAAGGACTTTTCATGTTGTGCACTGAATGTGCAATAAAGTAAAAGTAATAAAAGGATGATATAGAAGAATAACTTTAATGAATTGCACCTAAGGTGATTTTTGGAGCTTTTAAGTTACAGTCCCACGGGTGACTGTATAAATTCAATCTACTCCCTTTGCGGTGTATACTACCTAAGTTGGAAAATGTTAGCAGTATGTAACTCCAATCAGAATTGGAATACCTGGGAGCAGAAAATTAAATTTAAGAGAACATGAATGTCAAAAAGCGAGCAGCTGTAATAAAAAGAGTTGAAGGAATCATTGGGCGTATAAAATACAACTGAAGAAAGATGTACAAAAAATGCATTTAATGTACGGTTTTCATATTTTACCAACGCACTCTGTAATTTTGCATTAATCAACAAATTGGTTAACCCCAGCATTTCTTTGTTTAACACAACTTGTTGTATAGGAGTTTTAGGAGTGGCTTGATTGTCGTCGTCAGATCATATAATTATTTCTTATGTCTTCCGGGACGAAAACTTTAGGAAGGCAAAAGAGCTAATAAACCCATAACTCGTTACTTGTCAGCTGATTATCAACTCTCATCGAACCGCTAACAAATAGAACTATCCACTTCGATGCGTATTTTAAGCGTCATCTGTCAACACATTCAAAATGAAACTGAATCAGCTGAAAAGTTTCCTTTGCCAGCACTCTGGCTTTACCAAACTCAAACTGCTATAAGCATAGTCAAAAAGTGTGATCTCATCTTATAAGTGTTACGAACTCAGACTCAGCAGGAAAATATAAGGAAAATTGAGAGAAGAAAAACAGAAGGTTAGGGAAAACATGAAGGAATATATGTCTAAAAATTTAGTGAGGAAAAGGTAAACCGATTTGTTACGTATACATAAAAAAACCAAAAGTTGAAAAGAATAAAACAAGAAATTGTGAAAGCCAGAAGTCGCTTACTGTTTTGAAGAATATACATGCTGAAAGAAATCGGAAGCCCAAAAGTTTCTAATCACAAAATGGTATTTATGAATGTACAATTTACATGTCTATGTTAGACAGTTGCAGATGTTCATGCTCAAGACAGATGATTAAGGGTCTGAGTTAGTCTTTTCCCAGCATTCTTCTGAGCGTTTCGGTGAGACTAAGATTTATGGAAGACCTTTGAGCGACGCTGAAGCGGCCTTGATAATGTCCACCTACTGACTAAACTAAATGAGGGTTTCAAACCAAAGTGAAGGATGAGGATTTTGATTTACAGTTGATGGATAAGGATTAGATCTAGTGGTTTCATCACAAACTAACATAATCTAAAACGTCAAGACGTTATTAAGTCAAATGGATAAAGAATTTCGCGCCAAAATCCAAGAACTATCACCGCAAATCTGATTGTTTCGTCCACAAATTATAGTCTGGCCGTGGCAGTGGATCACCAATGCCTCCAGGCAGGAACCCAGCTATATTAATGATAATAGAGGAAAAAGAAATTGGTAACTCATAGTTAGAAATTATCCTTAGTCTTTAAGAATAAGTCGTTTTCTATTAAAGGATTTGTGGAGAGTCGCTTAGAATAGCTCATCTGGAAGCGAGTTCCAGCATTTGATAACTCTTAAGGAGTAAAAGTTGTGCATACAGTCCGTTCTGCTGTGTTGTGTTTCCAGTTTCTGGGTGTTACCCCTTGGATTTGTGTTGGAGCTAAACTTAAGTAGGTGTTTAAGGGGATTCCCAGGAGTGTTAAGGATACTGTAAGCAATAAGAAGGTTACCTCTAAGATGCTTGTACTGTAATGGGTAGAGGTTTAGGGATTGAAGGAGCTCTTCATAAGGCTTTAATTTGAGTCCATGAACTGATTTCGTGGCTCGCTGATAACCATGAACAAAGCACATTAGGGTCAGGAGATAAAAATGGAGACTCTAGCAAACAAGAAATGTATATGTTAGGATTATAATCAGCCGTATTCGTTTTTTCATTTATAGAGTTGGTTAAAAAAACATGTAAAATTAATATACGTGCGGGGTCAAACATTATTGTGAATAGCTATAAACACAGAAAAACCCAGCAATGTATCTTTATTATTGCTTCCAAGTACCAAGATATGGTATAAGGTCTTTGGCAGAGTTCAATAAATACAGGGAAGCTATTCGAATGCAGTAGTCGTGGTTAGGACTTCCACTACTGTACGATATATAAATATGTCTTTCATCTATACGAATCTTTTCGCCCAACAACAGTAAAAACACGTAAAACGTTATGAACTGAAGTCTTACGTATGAAGGGATATTGGTCGAGAAATGAGCTAACAAGAGAAATTCGATAAGTGAACAATTTCAAACGTCCGCGTTTGCTCGTCATGACGACGAATAAAATATAGAAATAAATTATCACTTATTCTTTACACAAAATACGATGACGAATTTAAAGCTATGCTATTATTATTTTATGTTGTTTTTGCGGACGCAAACCTTGACAAGTTTTCAAGTTTGTGCGTTACTGCGTAAACAAATTGTCGAAATAATTCAAAGCATCAAAGACTTGAATAAAAAAAACCGGGTTTGAACGGAAAGGTCTATTGTATTGTCACCTTTTATCTGAAACGGCCTTCACTGTCCAAGCTCACTTAATCTTGGTGAAAGACTTGGTTTAATGCTTTATAAATATTTGTGAGTCCGATGAATGATCTATTTGTTGTGTACAAAAAATCCAGTTTTAATTAAGTATTTTTGGTCAGCCATGATTTTATAAGCCGTGTTCATTTTGATAGCTGTCTTCAAAACGTATGTATAACTAAGTTTTACATATCTTGATTGTCAGTAAGATTTGGTCGTAATCTCTATATCTCATAACTTAAGCCGTTGGTTTAAACGTTCTTATCGTACTAGTTACTACTCCTGACATCTCATTATTCCAGTTGTCAGACCCTTTGCGCTTTTGGAATAACAAGGTTGAATTTTTATTAATTACATTTATATAATATTTTCAACCCTGGACTTATGAGTTCTTTGTTTTGTAACCAGTTTGAACGCAATATATGGATTTTTTGTGCATCATGCACTAGAATTCGACCTTTTTGAATCAAACTGATTATTTGCATTTAACAACAGTCATAAGTAAATTGCATCTGAAAACATATTTTTAAGGTTCTTCTCTTCATAAGGTTCTGTAAATACTTGACTGTTGGTTGAAAAACATTTATAAGAGTTCAACGATGATGGTTGAAAAATATGAGAGTCACAATGACATTAAATTCAGACGAAGTTAAGACGAAACAAGGATAAAAATAATAATCTGAAGCAAATACATATAAAAACCAATATTTATCCTAACCACACTGTTGCTCTACTTGATGTAAGCATTTTGTAACTTTATGACTAGGCTTCCCTTTAAAGTCGTTTACCGATAGAGTTGTGACCATTCTATATGATCACGCAGAAACACGGAACCCGAGTTACATAGAATGAAGTTCCATCCATTCCTACACTCTTTGTCGAGGTCATGTATTACCTGTTCCCTGAAGTGTATACACAAATGTTCCTGGTCGTTTTATTCCTGGTAAGGTAGTTTAAACTAGTCAAAATGTTATAAGCCAATCACACTTCTATAGTAAGTATAGTAAGTCAGTTGAAATGTGTTAATACTTGCAGTGTTTTACAGTAGAGATTTATTTTTCCCATGAGTGTTCACCGACGAGATTGATGCAACTCGTTTAGGTTAAGAGATTCCATTTGTTGACCACTGAAAACCATAGCCCCACCCTAGGTTAATCTAGTCGCAATACTTGAACCCTTTTACGGTTCCCTTGAAGATGAGTGGTCTTAGAGGAGCGATAACAGATGATATACGGAGGCCTAAATCAGTCTTAAGTCACCTCATTTCTTACGATTAGAGGAAGGAGAAAAGATATGAGCGTTTTAAAGTCACCTTCCGTGTGCCCACTTGATAAAATTATTCTGGAATCGTAAATATTTGAAGGAAGGTAGGGAACTTTAGACTATACGTCCCTTCAGTCAGTCTTTCGGATAACACAAAACCTCATGGGTTATTGCTGTGTTCAATAAAAGCTCAAAATTTTCTGATATTTAGGTTATCGTTACTCTCAGTTGTCTTCTCTACAGCCTAAAACTTTAAGTAAACTAACTTTATCCGTACTACTGAGTTTCATGGAAGATTAGCTGTATGAGACAAAAGCAAAAATAAACAAAAAGTGACACACCAAAGCCACTAGAGCAAATTTACTGCTCGTTTAACGTAGAACTTCTTGTAGAACTTGGTATTTCTTAAAAAATTTGTGGGCCATAGGTGATAATTTATATCATTCTAAAGACTGTTGAATTCCTTTGTAAAATCCATAAATAATACATGAACAAATATACTTTTTACCTTGACGTTGTTATTAAAGTTTATATACTTAGATCACTGAAAGTTGTTAAATATTATTTACTGCTTAGTTCCTACTTTGCATTTAGCAATTACATTGTTGTTGGTTCTATTCATCGCAGTTCGTGAAACTCAATTAACACATTGAAGTCTTAAGTTACATGTTAGAAATGGTTCTTTCAGTTAGAGAACGAATATACTACTCAGTAGTTCGGTGTACATGGTTGCTCAACAGATATTTTGACCTGCCTGCTAGTGCTTCTATAGGGCTTGGAAAAAGCTCTCGAAAATCTATGAAAGGTTGAGTCTTCTTCAGGTAGATAGCATGTTGGAAAAAACAGTTATTTTCGAATAGATTAGTAGTGGCAATAAGAGTGATCTAAGGTCGGGACGGTTTTTGACCAATTCTAAGCATTCAAATTATGCAGTATTGTGGGTGTTTAGACTGTCAATTCACTGTCCTAATCTTTAAAGACCACTTAAATATTCTTTTGCTCATAGTGGAACGTAAGATATCATCGCACTAGAAATTTATACTTTCGAGGTCTTTTGTGATTCCTTGGAAAGTGAAAATAAAGTTGAGGAACAGTAACATTCCTTCTATACTTTGCCTGTAACTTTAGTTTGGTATCACTGCCTACTTTCTAGTGATCTACTTCATTTGTTCTCTTAAACCTTAATTATCTAACTTTGTTGTTCAGTATTATTGATACACGTAGTTCAGTTTCTCTGCTCTCTTCCTTATTTGTTTTTCTCTCTGTACTGATATGAAGCGTCATCTTGTTTAATATTATTAATGACAGGATTGGATTCATTGTTGTTAGCAAGTTTGTAACCACTTACTATATTTGTTTGGGTAAATTTTCACACAAATTCACAAACTACTCATTTTTAATCGTGATTTGTCCGTTGTCTTATATATAGAGTTAGCTTGATAGGATTGTGTTATCTCTTAATTTTACATTCATCTTCAATCCGATTTGTTGGTTTTAAAACGCTAAATATACACTTGCAGATTCTAGCTATAATCTATTCTTATTTTTGTGGTCGTAATTTTCTACTAAAGTGGTTTCGTTACAATTGAGTACGGTTTTAAAATGTCTAATCTTAAGCAACATCATTTGAAGAATTAATGAAGTCAAGGAATCCTGGACCACCCTTTTATCCCTATTTGTGTTTACAATGACTAGTTTACTCAGAATTGTTACAAACCCAAGGGACTGGTTTTAATATGGATTTATCAAAGTTTTTACTAAGAATCTTTAAGGTTGGTTTCAGATTCTCGTTGTTTGTATGGTTGGAGGTTACTCTCATGGTCTTTTATTCCCCCTCCACCTGTAGATAAAGCAGTTATTGAGTAAACCTAGGTTTCCTATGCTCCACTTCAACTGTACAACGATCGATAGATTTAAACAACTATGAAGTGAGTTTATAACATATTCACTGATACCGACTGCGATGCATTCTTGGGTGACAGGGTTGCTTCTATTGCTACTCTCATCAATTTCGCTCTCACTCAGCATTTTATTCATTTACGGCATTATGAACGTGGTTTGAAAAAAACGTCATTCATCATCACGGGAGTGTAGGTTGTAGACTATTCTTCTTCTCTTTCTGTATGTGTGTTTGTTTCAAAGTTGAGTTGCGTGCCGCTGGGCTGGAACCATCACCGGCTTCATGGTGGATCTTCTGAACTTCAAAATACTTTAACCTCTAAATTAGATAAAAGTGATGTCATGCTTGGAATAGGCTAGCCGTTGATAATCTGCACCAACATAAACGTGGGGTTTTGGTAGATTCACTGAGGTAAACCAGAGCTTGCGTTTAAAAACGCTATCAACAGCAAGTAAGGAGTTCATAAAAAATCTTGATCAACTTGTACCTGGCCCTAGTTTATTCTCATCGATTTCTACAGCCACCAGCCGTTGACATTGTTATATTTACGATTTGGCTAGGGTTAATTTAGGGTCTTTTAAGCACCGGCTAATAAGAAATCATTGAAATTAGATGGACTAATTTACTCCATGTTCTTAAAAGTTTATTCCAATTATATTGTGCAAGTTACATAAAATATAACCTTACAAACTACAGTAGAGTGGAAAAAGCAAGTATTACGAAATGAAGTAAATTCGTCCTATCTTGTTTGCAAAAGTCTAGGGGACTAATATAAATTAGCTTACGAACACTTAGTAGGGAAGAAATCGATGTATTTGTTCTCTAATTTCTAACAATATTTTTTAAACATTACCACCCATTTAGAATCTTTATACTTATTGGCCAGCAAAGTAACATTTTGCTATATACATTTTACCAGTGAACTTGATATTTCGTACGATAAGGTAGTTCGTAAAAGCCGTTTTGTTTTTCGTCATGTAGAGAACCATCGAAGATAACAGCCAACTGAATTAGTTATCTCAATGTGTGGCTCCTCAAGAGTGTATAATCAAGCAATCTTGTATGAAATTAGATTAAAAGTTTTCACGCCACACAGTTATTGGTAACACATCAGGCTTCTGTGTTCTAATCAAACTGTCCACATTTTTAAAACTAACCCTATTCTTTCCTTATGCTTATTATCTTTATCATTAATAAGTTATGATATCACATTGGTTAAAATTCAAAATATTAAGGCGTTTTAATTAAGCCAACTCCAACCAATACCCTACTAAAATTTCTTTTATTCTACTACTAGCTATCGATGAAAGGCTATGCTTAATTCACTTAGAAATAATACTCACATATAACTATTTTTTTCTAACTGTAGATGGCGACTCCTAGTTTGAAGAAGGGTACATCTAATTCAGACCTGTTAAACCGAACAGTTACCACAAATTCTAACCCAGTTAGAGCATTTTATGAGTTACCTGAGGGTGCGTCAACATCTGCTCAAATAGTCAAAGAATCAAGAGATTGGCTTCGTTCTGTTTCAACATGTAGGCCATTTACACCTAAAGATAAAACAAGATCACTATTAAACACATTACAAACAAGAACTGGCTACAGACCACCAAGCGCTTTCAAGGTTACAGCAAAATCTTTTGATCCTTATGAAACAACAAGCAAATCGAATATCCAGTTGGAACCAATTCATATAAAAGTAGGTAGTTCTCCTTTATTATTATTTTCAAAAGTACAAAAAAACTTGTTCTCACAAATCAATCACTTTCTAGCAGATTCTCGGATCTCGTTTACCCAAAAGTCCATATTACTGTGTTAATACCTAGAAAACAAATGGCGCTTGAATGCAATTTTATGTGATTTTAGGATGTATTTTAAGTATTCCCAACCACCAGCTACCACGATAGGTGATGTCAGTGTAATAACAAACTCGAAGAAGTCGATGAGTCTCTACACTAAAGCGAAGCATCATTCCATAAATCAATTGACTGTTGGTCCGATCCATTTTGTGAGATACAAACTATCTGGTCAGAACCTTCGCCACACAGCCAGTACTTGGAGATCTTGGGCTATATGGTTTATAGCCGATTATAAGACGCAGATTAGTTCACTCTCTACCTTATTCTAGATCCTCAGTTTCAGCATTTCGCCATAGATACCTTTTCATTTCTGACTTTTTGTATAGCTTTGTCGATATTTAGCCATTATCATTATTATAGCTACTATATCATTTCAATTTTTTCACGAATCATCTTGTTAACTTTATCTCATCGTGCGACTGTGATATGGAGAGTTGAGCTATCACACATTCATGCCAGACTCTAAGTTGATTGTAACCTATTAACTCCCTGACCGAAACACACTCGGGTTGCTAAAAATTAATAAAATCTTAAAGACGGGAAAATACCTTGAATGCACATGAAGATATTGATTTAAAATTAAAACACATTACCAAACTAAGTAAGAAGCAATTATCATTTCATATAAATGCCCTAACAGAATGCTACTCATGGGTGTCTATACAATTAATTCAATTTATGATCACGATTTAAACTAAATTCAGATATCAACTTATTGTACAGTGTATTACTAACTCATACTCTTGTTGAGAAATATTACAATATGTTATTTGTTATTTTTTAGACATAGTTGGGCGATGAAATATATTGCTGAACTATCATTTAAATAGTGAGACTATAATTTATGGACGTTCTTTAAGCAGCGCTAAAGTGACTTTGAGAATGTTCACCCACTAACTAGGACTAAATGACGGTTATAAAGCAGTGTGAAGAATTAGAATTATGACTTACAGTTTATGGTTAGGGTCAGGAACTAGATTTAGCATTATCGTCACTAACTGACATCAACTAAAATGCCGAAATGCTATTTAGCCAAACGGATGAATGAATTTTGTCCCGAAATCGAAGACCGGTTATCTTATATCTGATTAATTCGTCCATAAATTATAGTCTTGCCATAGTCCAGTTACAGTTTAAAAATAAAAGATCTGGATCTTCTAGTCATAGTCACGAAAAATTCAGGGCTGTTAGATGGCAGTTCATCTCTCTAATACAAGGATTTCTAGTTTTAAATAATAATTGTAGGTAAACTATTAATCTAGCAATCTTTGTGAAAGGCGTTTTGTTGGTATTAATTGAGTTGTTTCTTATTTCAATTTCCATAATTGACCGAAATATATTCCTCGAAGTCATGTCCGGAAGGACAGTTACATTGACTTTTTAACCCAGAAGAAGGCGATTCAATCCAACTTGTTTCGCTTCTTAATTTGAAACACAGAGAGAAACCAATTCATATCAATATCTGACCTACTTTTGCCATCGTTATTCACACTAGTACAAAAGGCATGAATAGAAATTACTAATGAATATTTAAAGAAGCACAATATTTCGACTGAAGAGTAAGATGAATCAATATCCCTTTTCTTATGCTCAATTTTTCTGGCTGGTTTCGAAAACAGGCATCTTAATGTTATTATTTCAAATATAGTTTAAAGAAAACTACGAAATAACTGGTGTTTTATTTCTTTAAAAATATTTCTTTCGTAACAACGTGTCTTTGAATAAATTATTCACCTTCTAAACTTTAGACCGTATGTTTTTAATATACTGGTAAGTATATTTTTCCATTGTTAATTTTCAGGATTTCATTTGATCAGTCCCTCTTCCTGCATATTCCCATTGAGCGAATGTTTAAACATTGTCTTAGATCATCGGTTCACTAAATTTTGGCGTTTTAACCAGCAGAATAGTTCAGAGTGAGCTTTTCATCCTGTTCAAGTCTCATCGTTGTATAAGTTCAAGCTATTACTCATACGCAGTACTTATTACTTCAAACCTCAACGCTTTATCCTCTAGGTTATTTAGTGTAGATGATCACTAACTTGTTAAACGGGTATCATATTCATTATTAATAGTAATAGGGGCTTGTGTTTCTCCGTTGTATCATATGAATATATTATGAGGTATACCTTGGATTATCTAACTTAGAATGCCTTGAACTACCTTTCGTATATAAAAAGGGTATCTTGTATGTACTAATTAGTAACCTTATCAGTATTCCTGAAAGTGACCATACACTACCGAGTGTGAATACTTTATTTAACCTAAACATCTATTCACTTTTTTAACTTATAGGAAAAAAATATTCAGAAACCGTCAAAGCTTAGTAAAATTGAAATGAAACTTAACGTGAAACGAAAATCTAAACATCTTGATGATCGAATTCAAGTTCGTCACTCCGGTATGTGATTTACGCTGTTTAGATTATTTAAATGCTTTTCCATCTTGTTGTAATCTGAAGAAACGTCGATATCTTTACTTGTTATAACTAAAAAAATACTGATACTGCTTGATGAAATGAATAAGGTAAAACCGGAGATGAAGGATTTATTAGGCAAGAATAATAAATTCACAAGTGATCCAACCTCTGATCAACAACTCTATCAAAATATATTGAGTCGTATCTGATTTATTTATTTGAACAGCAGTCAAGCTTGGATACACTGAACTTAATACAAATTAAACGATAACTTAATCCATGTATAGAATTTACAACATCGTCAGAGTGAAATGCTTTTAATGGCAAATACAGTTAAATTGATACTCCATAACTTATTCTCTAGTGTTCATGTTTGATTGACTGAATTATTAAATTGAATTCCGCCCCCCCCCAAAAAAAAATCAAGCCCCTTTTTTTCTACGCTATAATATTCGGGTTTGGAATTTTACCTTATCGCTAAGTCAATGATATTACAAGTGTGAATAAATACAATGAGACTTTTGAACATCTGTATTATGTTTTAATTTCGAAAAAGAAAAAAGTCATCTTATTGCTCCATAGCTTCACTTTGTGATATGAATCTAAAATAATTTCTAAAATCCCCATGATACTGAATATCAACAAATCATTGGCAACAAACTATTGTAACTGATTGGATAAATAAATTTTGACTTAACGAATAACCATAGTCACTTCTGATCATTGAATTCTGATACGGTGCAATTTATGTTATTTAAAAAGTCTACATTAAATTATTACTGACACTACTCAATTTTAAGCATCAATATTTTTCTCACTTTATATAGATAAGTATCTAAGGGATATTTATCAGATGGAAAATACTTATTAACAATATAATCACGTTTCAAAGGTAGATTGCTGAAAAATGTACCCTTTTATATTTGTAGACTATTGTTAATATCATCAATTTAGATTCGACTGAAAAAAGTACATGTGAATCAATTCTGTTGAAACTTCGTTCACGTTATCTAAATGCACGCTTCTGAAGGGTTCCATACTAGAACGAAACAACTATCGAGAACTTCTAGTCATCAATAGTTGTCTAACTAAGATCAGCCCGTGATTTAAAGTGTGGAAAAAGGGTTTAGAATATTTTATACTGTTATGTTTGCGTTATTAAATGTATAGAATTTTTCACACATTTTCGATGCAAGTTTTTATTAGTCTCAGTATTCACGAAAGCATATCACGTGTCATGATAAATGGTCCAAGCCTATTATAGTGTGATCAGGTAAAGTTTCCTATTAATTAGTTTCAACCACTTACCATCAAAGTACTCAACTATGTCGAATCACTTAGACTAGTATCCACATTACAATTTTATAGACTAGCTTTTTGGGAAAAAATATGACATTGCATATTACTCGCTACTTGATTACTGTAAAGAGAAAGCCAGTTCGTGCAATGAATAGATTAGTAGTAATGTCACATTGTGTTGCTAAATAAGACGAACTTGAATTCCAAGCAAACATCGACTTCATTAAGATTTTAGATCGGTTATAAGGATCCAGGATCCGCTTCAAGAATATTTCACCACCATCTTATTTAACTGAAGATTATGCTGGAAACATAGTCCCTGTCCATTATCTGTTTAGTACTAAATATTTAAATATAACAAATTTTTCTGTAGTTAGAATAGTTGATTGAATACTACTGAATAAGACATAAAATACAAAACTCAAGTGGATGGCAACTGTTAATCCAGTCAACCAATTACGAAATTAATTAAAAATAATGTACCATTAATAAGTGAAGTTCAAAGTGAACCTAGTTTGACTTCTAAGAATACGTTTACCATCATATACCAGATAGAGGGAATAAACAAAAAGAAACTAGATTGTTCCGAATCACTTAAAAAAGTGCTATCAATAAAGACAGAAATTTCATTCTGGTTTAACAGGGTGAAATATATTTTTAACAATACTGAAAAATACATTAACATAGATCCTAGTACGAAATACATTAGCTTATGTTACTACACCTCGTCGATAAGATTAAAATGCAAGTGTCAAGTAAGACTATTATAAATACATTTTAAACGAATAAATCACAAGTAGCAGGAGATTTGACAAACTTGTCACCCGTACGTAAAAAAATAATCATAGTAAAACGATTGTTGATACGATAATTTCACTGTGTTATTGCGTTGATTTAAGAATGCAAGTGATGGAATATTTCGAGCATAAGTACATCTTTTACTCATGCTTCAGGGATAAAGCTGAATAGCTTAAAGGATCATTGTATCTATTTCATGTTTGACAGGCGGTTAAATATTTCACTGGTCTTACAAAAAGAAAAGATTGGTAAATATTAACTAGGCTTTTCGTGTCCTCTGCAAAATTTCCTCAGTGATCAGCCATTATTTGTTGATGGGACTATTTCATCGTTCTACTTACTAAATACACTAACGTTCTTGAGCAAACTTTTACGCGTTCAGTGAGCACAAGTTTCAAGACCGGGAATCGTTTTATTCAAACCACCTTATTTTTTATTATTATAATAGGATTACTATCTTTTTATACAATTTATAATGACTACTGTTCAAGAACAATGTGAGGTTTATGATATCGCTAAGCTAATAAGTAATTGTTCATGACCACCTCCCATAAACTTGGACTTTTATAGTATCATAAACGTATTCTACCACTTTTCCAAGCTTCATATTTATCATAGACATTTCAACTTTATTAGGAGTCGAAAGACCAGTGTTAACAGACCACTCAGGTTGCAACCACATTTTAAACAACTGAAGAGTTGTTCAAACACTTTATATTAGGATAAGTATTAGCTCAAAATACTTAACAGATAAACGAAAGTTCAGAAACAATTTGCTTTCATTGACATGTACTTAGTGTTTTTGAGGCACACCAGAAAATAAATTTTACTGCAACTAGTGTTTTACTATTTCATTCCCTTTATTTCATTTATTTATTTGAACACATAAATATTTGTACAAGGGGGCACCAGATACATATACGCCACACAAACCAAATGAGATTTGTGTGAGGGCTGTGATACTGCCCGGGTGCCCAAACCGAAGCAGGTGGTTTTCTTAGGGGGCCACTCCCCGAGCCTTCGACCTAAAGGTCTGGTCCACAAGTTAGTGGAGCGTCGTAAGGAAATGCAGTCCCATGGTAGCCAGTGACTAACGATTGGTCCATATGCCATTTGTTCCTTCAGGATACTGGAGCCCATGTGCACCATTGGTTTGGAATCAGGGTTTCCCAACTCCCCTAGGTGGACCCTCCATGTCCACCGACCCGGTTAAAGCACTAAACATTCGCTTTTCGTCCTCTCAATTTCATGAACAACACCCTCGACACGAGAAGGCAGTGAGTAGGACTTCCCTGGCAGAGGCTATATACGCGTGGCCACTTGAGAGCGTTTCGAGAACGAGAGCGAACTCTCCCAACTTTCGGTCGTACCAGGGCATTTTGGGGCAAATAAATAGGATCGTAGCAGCAACATTCTATTTATTTGCCCCCAAATGCTCTGGTACGGCCGAGAAAGGGGAGAGTCCGCTCTCCCTCTCAAAATGCTCTCACATGGCCACACGTATATGGCCTATGCCACGAAAGTCCCTTTACAAATAAGTTTAGGTGGATTAATAGCTAAATTATTATACAAACCTTGGCAAAGGAATTCAAATACACATATAAACTATGGATATTTGTTTTCTCTTTGTGTAAACTGGGAATCCTTTTGCACTGATTTAAGCATACATTTTCAATATTAAACTAAGCTTTTTATATTGCTTAAATAGTTAACTATATTTTAACCCGAATGGTTTCTTTAAGTTCCGTTTCTTAAAACTATATACGAAAGTTTCACTGAAAATGTGTTTTTTTCTCTGTTTAAAATGCCATTCAAGTTTCCTATATAAATAATTTATCTCAATTGACTTCATAATCTATTCTGTCTTTTCGTCTCCAAATAATTGAATTGGTTGATTGATCTGTAAAGTAACTTTCTAAGTTGAAAATAACAACGATGTAACTACTAGTATTAAAGAAACTTTCATTTCATCAAATAATTAACGTATATTATCATCTTCCACTTTGTAAATGTCAGGTTCTTCGTGATGTAAAAAATTACTACAGAAACCCTTTATATAGTCGAAAAGTTGGCTAGCAGAAATCTACAAAATACTTGTTTTGTTTGTTTATCTTGTGTAAAATACTAATCGTCTCCTATTTCTTATGTCTTCGTATTTTATGTTAGGTTTTATCGTAAACTAACATCAGCTGAAAAATCAATGTAAAGCACATCCTAGTTCTTAATTGATTCACTGTTTACATCGATAGATCTATGTAGAAACGAAATTGAGGCTCACGGGTTTCATAGTGAGCGCATTACCATTAGGCTTGAGACCTTTTGGTATGTCTAAAGTATTTCTTGGTATATTTACTTAGGTGGTCACAAAAGCTTTGAGTTTTAGACTTTAGGCTGTATATATTTTGTTAAGGGCAATTGTACTACATACCTTCCTAACTGTTGACAGATGTATAAGTTATGTTTGTTTATGCGAATTATCAAAACAATAAATTATAAGTTATTATTCTATATTTAATTTTATGATAAATAACATTCAGAGAAAAAACTTCATTTCAGCAACACCATCTCAATCCAGTGGGCCCATGGAAGAATCTGTTTTGACTGACAGTCATAAAAATCCACCACGTCTGGAACTTATTGGCACACAGACTCGCTTGATATCCCCGATAAGTGTTAAGCGTTCAGCTTGTTCGGTTATTAAATCAGAACGATGCGCCGCTCCAAAGTCTCCATATGGTAGTTGTACCGAGTAAGTTTAGCCTATATTATAAGATACACTCTAGTATTATGTTTCTGAGATATATATAACTAGCAGAGCAGTTAAAGTCATCCAAACTGTTGATGATAAATCTAATTACAATTGATACGTATGGCAAGCTGGATAGAACCAAAGATCTTCAGGTTTCCCAAGGAGCACAATATATTTAAGCTACCATATCGAAATCAAATGGTTCATATTTTTTCAAATCCCATCAACTAGTGACAAAGAATAACTCTCATTCAGTGGTCTTTAGTTATGATTTATCTCAATTTCGGCCTTCTTATCTTTAACTGTTGTTATTTCTGACAAGAACTTTGAGAAATTCATCTAAAAGAAACTCATGGGTAAGGATATGAACTGACATTGACTAGAAAATCATTTATAACTAGGGAGTACTAAAAACTGCTTCTTGCTAGTTTGAGACTTCAACAACATTCAATTGATACGTTGTACACAGCTGAGGCTTGGAAATTAATACCTTCAAAATTTAGCAAGTCTCTATATGATTATTTAGTTCATTAATTACAAGATTTCATTTTAAAAAATGAATTGAAATAACGAAGATTAGAGGCAATAAATATTGTCATGAAGTTTATCAAAGTTGAGGAAACGTAAATCATGTGTTATAACGATGTAATTACCACAAAAACTAGTATTGATATATAAACAAAAGAGAAATTCTTCAGTGTAAGCTATTGCATTTATCAAACTTGATGCTACGAAAAGTCGTTTTTCTTTTTTAATGATGTTGGTTCGTGATTCAGGCTGACATCGTTGTCAAATAATATTGGACTAAAGCAATGAGTACTTACTTACGCCTTTTACTCCTAATGGAGCATAGGCCGCCGACCAGCATTCTCTAATCCACCCTGTCCTGAGCCTTCTTTTCTAGTTCCATTCAATTCTTGTTCATTTTTCTCATGTCTGTCTCCGTTTCTCGACGTAATGTGTTCTTTGATCTTCCTCTTTTCCTTTGGCCTTGAGGATTCCATGTGAGGGCTTGCCTTGTGATGCAGTTGGGTGCCTTCCTCAATGTGTGTCCTATCCACTTCCAGCGCTTCTTCCTGATTTCTTCCTCCGCTGGGATCTGGTTTGTTCTCTCTCACAGTACGTTGTTGCTAATAGTGTCCGGCCAACGGATTCGAAGTATTTTGCGTAGACAACTGTTAATAAACACCTGTATTTTCTGGATGATGGCCTTCATAGTTCTCCGGGTTTCCACCCCATACAGTAGAACTGTCTTGACATTTGTATTGAAAATCCTGATCTTGTTGTTGATTGACAGTTGCTTTGAGTTCTAGATGACCTTCAGTTGTAAATATGCTGCTCTTGCTTTGCCGATCCGCGCCTTCACATCTGCATCAGATCCACTGTGTTCATCAATGATACTGCCTGTAGTGAACAAGAACACGGGTGGGGACAATCGATTGTATTTAGCACAAAAATTACAGACTGTCTCAATAAAATATGAATACCATAAAGTCAATCGTCAATTTGCAAAATATCATTCCATCATATGAAACTGTACTGTTCCCGTTGCAAACACTAATCCATTGCCTCCCATTCCATTGTACATGCGTTTTCTTACAATTCCATTGTGCTCTTGCTCTTCCTTTCTTGATCTTCGCCATCTTCTGCTGCCGGACATTACGTTCTTTTAACGCACGTTATATACTACTTATATGAATATAAGTAGCTCACACCACACTGCCCAGACATGTAAACGTTTTTACATCTTCCCAATCTTCTCCGTCAAGTGTGACTGGATCGTTGCATGCTGTGTTGTATTGGAGGATTTCGCTTCTCCCTTGTGTATGCTGAGACCTACTGCTGCTGAGGCTGCTGCTACACTGGTCGTCTTCTCCTGCATTTGTTGTTGCGTTTGGGATAGAAGGGCCAGACTGTCTGCGAAGTCTAGATCGTCCAACTGCATCTTAGATGTCCATTGTATCCCGCGCTTTCCTTCAGACGTTGACGTCTTCATGATCCAGTCGATCACCAGGAGAAAGAGAAAGGGTGAGAGTAAGCAACCTTGCCTAACACCGGTCTTCACTTCGAACGAGTTTGTCAATTGTCCTCCTTGCATAATTTTGCAGTTTAATCCATCATAGGAATTCTGCATGATATTGACTATCTTCTGAGGCACGCCGTGGTATCGAAGAAGCTTCTATAGTGTTGTTCTGTCCACTTTATGAAATGATTAAGAACAATGTAAATCAGAGGCTGAAAAATATAGTACTAACTTGTTTTCCGTACTTCATATTGTTATATCTGGTCGTCGCTGATTATCATGTCGGAATCGCTTATCACCTATATTTTCAAAACGAGGAACCACTGCAATTCCCATGAAGCGAAAGTAAGAACACAAAGACTGATACAAGTGAAGATTTATTAACCCTAAAACACGACGACGATCCTAGTCAAAAATACACTCACTTCGATTAATAGTTAGGATAAAATCCCATATATATAAAATACCCAGAATTATAACAAGTCACATGCTGAGTATAGTTCATGTAAACTGAATACAAGAATAACGTATGTTATACAAGAATACAAAACATACTACATTGAGTAATCATTACATTGAATTAAAAACGGATGTAATATTGAACAAAAATCATAATGAGTAAATCAATCTAATTTTGACTTTTCATCCCGCCATATCATATATATTTGTAATTTAAGCATATTGGAATCATAATACCTGTCCCTTCCAAGTATTCTGATCTCTATTAATTTCCAAGAACAATGAATAAAAGTAATCGACTTTTTAAAATTGCTACTGTAAATTTATTGCATTCAATCTTTTAAAGTTGTTTCACTGTTTATTAGGATTTGTTGATGTACTTTTTTTGTATTGTCCATTATAAGTTTCTTTCTTGTATATGCCTAAAGTTTCACAGCTTTAACCCTCTAATCTATTAAATACTGGTTAGTAAAATTTCAGTACCACAGAGGCAGAAAGTTATACTCACTGGAAAGGCTGGAGGAGAAGCGTGTAAAATCAAATAACTGTCTTCTATGAAATGAATACTTTTTAGGAAATTATCAAGAAATATAGTACTAAACACCACAGTATGGTTTAAGTACATAAACTGAAAAAGAAACATATTTTTATCCAGTTAACATTCAAAGGTAATAGAATCATGAATAAAACCAACCAAAAACCAAAAGTAGCTTTAAAGAGTACATTTCCTGCTACAAAATTATTTTCAGTGCATATAACTGCATGTTCAGTAATATGAACGAAAGTAGACAAATACCCATCACGTATCACAAACTGACTATATCAATTTAAATGTCTGTACAAAATCATGTACAGTAGAAAGAGAAACGCATGGGCATCTACACGTTTTTTTGAACATATTGCAAAGAACCTACGCAACCAGGGCAGAGGTGTTTTTCTGACTTTGATAGCGCAACACCTTGAAAGAAGTTATAAAGTGGATGCAATGAATGGATTTAAAATAATCAATAAGCATTCCAACACTGCTATTTTGTGAAACCTATAGCAACTAGAAGGCTTGAACCTGATCTTTATAGTCAAAAAGAGTTAGATGTTAATCTTTTTCTTCTCTTTTCGTAACGAAAGTACTATAATTTCTTTTCCAAATCTTATTGTTCAGTTAATTTTAATCACAACCTAGTGAGTTTAGTTCATATGTCTTTTCTTCTCAGAACTCTTCAATCTTTTTGTTATATTCTACAATGAAAATTATCTTAAATTTATTCTAGAACTGTCACTTAAAAATTTTACTTCTTAACTACAGTCACATTTACATTGTATACACCTCACTCATTCTTTATTGTTGGATAGTTCATTTCTCAAAACAACGAAATACAATCAATTCACTGTATTCTACAAACTAATCTTATTTCTGACTTATTTAGATAAAAGTATTGCCTCTAGAACTTACTGATACTTTAGCAATAAGTATTCAATTGTCAAATTATCTTGTTTATTATTTCTAATCATTTTATATTAAACAAACTTCGTTGCAATACAAAATCACTTAGCTTAGATGATGAGTCGAATTCAATGATCATTGTAAACTAGACAAAATAATGCTGATTACTATTCACCCATAGATTAATATGATTATTCATTTATTTGTTGTTCATTTTAAAATTTATTCTATTGTTAGACTTCAGATGATTTCAACCAATCAAAAACATTTACAAAATACTCAAATGGAAATAAATAAAAATAAGGATATCATCTCAAACATTAATTCTATTCTACCTGAAAAATATTCTTCCAGTAATAAAATAACAACAAAGATTTCTGTATATCCTTATTATCTTAATCCTCCTGAATTGTCAACATTATCTTCAATAGATGATAATCAATCATTTCGACCGAATAGTCCAATTGATTCATTTCTTCTATCGAATAGAACAATTTTAACTAGTGAAGAAGAAGAAAAAGAGAAACATCAATTTAGATCTAATGGTATTCGATCTGATGTTACTGGAACAAATACAAATAGAGAATTTACTAAATTAATTGTCGATGAGAATAAAGTTGGTGATATGAGTTAAAATATCATTTTGTTTTCATATGAAAATTCATTTATTTATTAAGGCAGTTTTTTCTTGTTTAATAAGATTAAATCTTAAGGAATGGTTGGTTAAGCGCCTGGGGCGAGACTGATAGGTCCTGGGTTCGAATCCCGCGAGGCGGGGTCGTGGATGCGCACTACTGAGGGGTCCTACAATAGGACGAAACGGCCATTCAGTGCTTCCAGGTTTTCCATGGTAGTCTAGCTTCAATTGACTCATGATCTCAACTGTTGAAATTACTACAATCTCCACAAAACCCCTTCTGATACTAATATGTAGATTAGTTTCCTTAAAAAAGTGTTTCGTTTAATGAAGTTGAAAGACATTGAATGCTAATTTGATTTTTGTTATATTTTATTGTTTAAATAGTGATGTGTAATATCACAACCAATGTCAATTGAGCTCATTGTCTCACTTTAATTTCATTTAAACTGATATAGATAACCAGTATATAGGACTGATTTCCTTAATGTTAATAGTAGAATAAACATTTCGAACAGTTATATAAATATTTTAATAGAAATTGTGCATTAAACATGACTCAGGTTACATGCATTTAATGAAAGCGTTTCTTGCTTGACCAGCTCCTTTTTAATATGAATGTTTAAATAACCTTTTTTTCAGTTCAAAATAAACTTTTCATTAGATCTGTTATTCATATTAATTACTATGATGGTCCCTTACTCAAACTGCCTAAATGACGTAGAATACCACTAAGAATATCATTGTATGAGCACCAACTTCTTTTACTACTCTAATGAGGAAAAGTTTCGATAAATTTAAAGTCTTATAAATTAATGAATTGAGGTATAGATTTATAGAAATAACTATCGGCTATCAAGGAATAACATGTTTCATGTACATCGTTAAGATTGAAGTCATCAGCATAACTATATGATCTGACGTACTTACTTACTTACTTACGCATGTTACCCCCTCGTGGAGAAGCATAGGCTGCCCACCAGTTTTATCTGATCACTAGAAATTTTCCACCATTTGGTTACTGGCATTTACTGTTTTCTACACAGAAAACATTTATCTAGTTGTATCATTCATAAACTCAGACAATAAAATTTATACTTATTCATATTAGATTTCTAGAAAACATAGGAATTAACTTTCTTAACAATCCCACTTATGAAAAACTACACTTGTCGAAGTGTACCATTTATTTGTTGTTGTTTTATTTCTTTTTTTTTCGTTATATCAAATCTTAATTTTAAAGTAACATAAAAATAGCCCTGTTAATCTTGACAAAACTATATTCTTTTCCTTTAAAAAATTTTATACTCTTTAAGAAAATTTCTTCATTTTGCTAATAAACAATTCACTGTTTCCAATGGTAACTCAAACTATATCTTTCTTCTTGTTAAACAATGAAATATTCATTGTACTTAAATTTATCAAATTCTTATCTGTATAGAAAGATTTTTTCCGCTGTGTATACAGTACTAGTACATCTGAAGACAACTAGATATAAGAAGAATTCATTTCTTAAGCGAATAGGGGGAAGCTTAGAAGAATTCTTGAATATTGAATATGTTTGTCTACTTATTATTTTTGTGTATTGACAAATGGAAAGTGAAACGAAAGTGAAATTGCAATTAAGAATATTTTCTATATTTATATAATTCATTTAGTGTTTTTATTTGTCCAAACTGGTTCTTTGTTCATTTTTCATGGTGTTGCTTATATTACATTACAGTGAATTAGGGATTTGACCAACACAATCTTTGATAAACTGTATGTATATACTGCTACAACTATATTACTCAGAAATAGAAATATACAAATACGTCTACATCGTTGGTTTACTTAGAAGAATGGAAGATGGGCACTCTCTAGATAGGTTTCTAATTGACTAATGATCATTGCAGAATAAACTTAACCTTTGTAACGTTTACACTAGTTGTATTAAAATAAAGAGATATTCATTTTGAGCTCGGTTGAAACTGCTCACAGTACATCTATCTCCAATGAAAATTGTTGACTAACTTACTTCGTTTTGTAATTCAGTAAACATATGTTTTCTACTCACCAGTATATTATTACTTATCGATAAGGTTAATTTCATTAAATTTTTATAAAGAATGTTAGCCAGAAGTTCCTTTAAGTTATTTATTTGATTTCAATGAGAATACAGATAACAAATAAAGCATTACTTAAATATAGATTTATTATGTTTTATTCTGTACTCTGTAGTTCAAAATCGTAGCATATGTATAGAACTTCGCGAGTAAGGTCTCTTACGTGTATTGAAATTGAAGCTTATTAACCATAATTTTAATTTATACGCATAATTCCATTTATTATTTTCAAAAGAGCAAGAACAAAGATTGTGGCAGAATAGCATGAATTCATTTTATTTCGTTGGTTCTCGTCAGCTGCTTACAACCTAAATTCACGCTATTCTGCTAAAATCTTTGTTCTTGCTCTTTTCAAAATTTTAATTTAATTGTTTCATCAACTGTTATTTCAAAGAAAGGAATGTTTCATAATATTGGCACCCTCCCGCGGTACCTATGTTTAAGTCAATCTTTATTGTTTTAAAGCTCATTTTGGCCTTTATTGAATATAAGCATTCCTGCTGACATATTTGACAAATGGCAACAGATCGTTTTTATAATAATGTTGATATTTAAACAATAAATAGGCATTTAAATTTGACCATTCATCAAAGATGACAAGTCAATAGATACTCAAGGTTATGTTGCAATTACTCAGTTCTAATATTTAGAGTATACTATTCAAACATTTTTATGATTGATTTACAAAACTTACGTAGCTAACACACAATAAACCAGGGATAAAAAATTGGATCACAATGATCTACTGTGATAAATTTAGGCAGAAATTTTAAGAAGTGGTCACTCTTCTTAAGAAAGCTAGTCAAAATCAGACTGTAATGAAACTTGTAATATTAAACCAAGCCGCTTAGAATGCACATGAGCCAACAGAAACTGATCACTTGTAATCCTTAATGTAAATAATGTGAAAATCTAAACCTGTGCATATATATTTCCGTTTATTTTTTTTTGCAAATTCACTAGCCTAAATCTTGTGGTCCACATAAACGTTCAGTCAATTACGATGTAACTAATATAAATTTACGTGATAAATTTCAAACATCTGTTTCCAGTGATTCTGGTTTGTCATCCGTTACAGAACTGGATAATTTAATTTACCAATTAAATGAACTGTCATTGTCAACATCAACGATAAAAACAGAGACATTAGCATCATCACCTTCATCATCCTGTAAAAATTTACAGAATTCTAAAACATTTAATTCGCAAGTATTGTTTAAAGACAACAATGATTCATCGGTTCAGGAACAATACCAAAAATTAAGTGAAGTAAAAAACAAAGTTACACCTTCAACAAAAAATATTCAACAATCGATGAACGAAGAAGAAACTGTTCATTCAAATTTAATAACAAATAAATTAGACGAAAATGAAGTCACAGATTTATTAGATCGTATACAAAATTGTGTCAGTGAATTTGATTTGGAGGGGAATAGAAATTGGTCAAACCGTTCAATGTTATTGAAAGCTGTATTCAACTTAATTAATTATCCTTCATCAAGGATACATCTAGCCGTAGCTAGATTGATCTTTACAGTTAGTGATAATTTAGTTAGCTAATGTTTCTGTGAGCTTAGTTTTGTTACTGACTTGATAATTTCATTAAAACCCCATATCCTATTTTCAATATGTGAAATTTATTTTGCATGGGATTGTTCACTATTTTAACACTGAATGCAACTACTATGACGTCATTTTTCTGTATTTAATTGTTCTGTAAATGCATACTACATCATCTTGTAGGGAATCTGACATTTTATTCATCTCTGCTTCCAAATTCAAACTAATTTAGGAACAAAATTATGAAATAAACATTAATAGACGAAATGAAAGCTGTTAACAGGAGTATGCATTAAATTTATATCACTCACTGGGTTCTATTGTTTATAACAATATTTGTAGTAGCATTGTTATTCAGTAGTTCAGTCATTTAATATAAAACTTGGTCTTCACTTCATCTGCCATGAAATGGACATCCATGAAGTATTCTTAGTCGTCTTACAATGTGTGATTTAGAGCAAATTATTTTCAACCTTGCTCTGATTTTTTGAGTAAAAAAGGTGTATAATAACAAAAATCTCTTTATTGGATACTAAATACTTGTTTACGATAAGAAACTCTCAGCTTATGTGGTAAAATGTCTTAGCGAATTCCTTTGACATTCATTTTATTGTGGAAATTCAAAACAAGGCTGTTTGAAAACCGTTTTTAAGACGGAACTTATTTAACAACTGCCCTTAAACAATTGTTTTCATCCAGTTCTGCACTGTTTTTCCTTTTTAAGCAAGCATCCTAAGTAGTGTAATGTACACCATACGAATTGCGCTTTACGCTCATGAATTCCATTTTTACTAAGTCTCGTTGCGTCAGCGGACAAGGAAGCAAAGAAATATACCATTTACTTCCATATCTCTTCTTGCTTTTCATATTAGTTATCACAACAGTTAGTAGTAAGTCCTTTATAAATGTGTTTGAGTTAAATGCGCTGTTCAAATACATGAAAACAAAGTCATGTCCTTCAGTATCTAAACAGTTAAAAATTGTGTTTCAGAGATTTAAGTACCGACTGTGGTTAAACTAATCTGCTTTCAGATTAAAGTTAAAAAATTATTGTGTTTTATTTCATGCCATATTTGACCAAGTAGATAGCATCAGACAATTTACGTACATTCATAAAACACTGTTCCTCAATACAGACAAATATATCAAGAATCTTTAAAGAAATCATGCACTCAATAAATTATAAATAGAAAAAGGGATTCCGATAAGAACAAAATGAATTTGGTTGTTGACCTCAGGACTTATGTATGAGATTATTTTACTTTAATATTAAAAAACTACTTTATTGGTGATTTTTAAAGAGTGGACTAATATAAAGATTTATTTAATTAGTGGTATGATCAGAACACTTTCTCGGTCGATTGTCCCCAAAAATAGTCTTTTTTACATGGACTCAATATGATTTTCTCCCTCTCAAGGATTTCGCTCATTGTTTTCATGAATCATGCCACTTCTTTTGCAGATGAAAGTAACTGGGAAAAATTTGTTAAACATTTGTAAAATTGTCTACAAAGTAGCTAAAAATGCAGATAATGATTGCTTATTTCTAGAGAATCCTAATACCCTTGGTAAGTATTAATTTATTGTTTTGACATTTGTAAGGTTACTGAGATTCCTTTTTTTAATTTTTAATGTAGCTAGATGTTATAAATCAAGTAAGTACGATGAAGTGGGTAAATTTTGTGAAATAAAACCTTATTTACAGCCATAGGTCACTCGTTAGTCATGACATGGCGCTATGGTCATTGAATTTCATTAATGATAGCTATCTCGATCCTAATATGATCAAGTTCTCTGCGCGACTTCCATTGAACATTCAAGAAATCTTCTCAAAGTTATTCACTAGTGATTGAATAATTATTGTTAACTTTGGTGTTTTACAGACAGATTTATTGTTTGAAGTCCCGAAGTAAGATGGAATACTTATCTAGCGGTCCTTAATCTTTATTGTGCCTTAAGCTAATATCTATCAGCTTTGTTAACTGCCTTCTCGAACCACTGAGATAAAATATTGATGAGTTGTCTGTTTTTTACCCATCACTTAATTACCCTTCAATTATTTGCATAATCTCTTAATAAATATTTGAGTATTAGTTGTGTTAAGTTAAAATTAGCATTTCTCTTGTTTTCCCCATTTTCAGATGTTTTAATTGATGCGCTACATTTGTCAGAATTGTCCATTATGCCTTTTTCCATTTCCTCATCTGTTGCCTATCCGTCAACAGTACCAGTAACCTCATTGTTATCACCGAAATCGTTTTCAATGAATAATTTGTTTCAAAACTCAACATTGTTCTGTATACATTTAGAAAGTTTATTATTTTTAACTGGAACAATAAAGTTCCTTATAAGTAATATAAATTTTATGCACAAATTTCATTCCAATTCAAGCTTTTTACCAAATTTGATGACTATTCATAAGCATATATATGAAATGTTAATTTATTTCCTGAAGAATAAGAAATATTTTTGTTCAGTGAATACTGTTAAAAAAGAAGAGCAACATAATGGCAATGATGATAATGACGGTGCTAATAATAATGATGTATATGGTAATCAAATTAATAAATTGATACAACATGCATATCATATCATTATACAGGTCAGTACTTGTTTCTTATTTAAGCAATATTTCATTGATTCACCATATCACTACAGTTATGGCAGAAGTAGTAGTAATGATCTCGAATGATTAAAATAAAACATCACCTTGTTGTGAAGCATGGTAACAAAGAGTTGATACCGGTACACACTTTCTATACACGAGTCCGACTACTTGAGAAAAAGACAAAGAGTGAGGAAGAGCGTTTATTTGGCTAAATTGAATCCATTGTATTTGGACTCATATATATATATATATATATATATATATATATATATATATATATATATCACTTGAGAATTGATGTTTAGGTGCTCTGATGGATATACTTTCATAAACTGCGCGTTTATTGGAAATTGAAATTTAGGCCTTTTACAACAAAGATAATTACTTATTTCTCTTAATAAATTCAGTTTTCCCATCCGACTTATTTTGCGCGATATATATTAGTAATTTTTTCATTTGCATAGAATTTCGCAACCACAAAACTTCTCACAATATCTTTTGTTAACTAAGTTTTATCATGCAGTCAAACCAAGGCTACTCTAATTTTTCATTGCCCGATCTCAGTAGTTGATCACGCATCTGTGTACTCAATTTCAAACTATGAGAAACAATAATACTACTAGCATGTTCTACATCTTTGATCTAATGGTCGAATACCGAGTTCTCTAATTAATTAATTAATTCATCAACCACATTAATATATTCCAAAAAGGACTAGCAACTTGTTCATACTTATAAATGTCAGATCCTAAGAAAATTTTGTTTTCTTTACTTAATTTTATTCAACGTTCACGTTTTATGTCTATGGAGAAGGTTCATCAAAATACCGATTTCAAACACTTCCATTAAATTATATTTATTAAATGAAACCTCTACTACAAATATATCACATAGTGAATTAAACTCTGTTAGACTTTAGAAGTTTGTTTTTAGTAAGAACTATGAACAAATCTCTTATGTGGGTAAATTATGGTTTAATCACCTGACTTTAGAGAGGTCCAAATGTGATAATTTTTACTTTGACTATTTCAGTTCTTACTTCTTTGTACCGATTGACTATACTTTGTCCTTACACCTTGACTGTTGGTTACTTTATTCTTTCATTTGTTCCCCTATGTTCTCTTCCAATCATTTATCAACTGAAAAGCTTTTCTTTTCAGTGTTTTAATTCTGTTATCCTTCATATCTTAATCCTTAAGTTTTTTCACTATGCTCATAAGCATCGCGGTTTAGTGCTTGTGCTTGATTTCTATAAAATATGACACATATATACTGAATAGACAGACTGTTTTTCTTTCTTTTAAAAAGGTCACAGAGATATTTTGTTATTTAAGCTCAATGGATTCATTTCGTCCTAAACTAATTGCGAACGATGGAATATTGCAACATATTGTAAATTGTATAATCAGTTATGAAGAATCCGATGACAAAATGTTGAGGAAAAGTGATGGTACTCCCACTACTTCTGCTTGTATAACTACTGACAATCACGATGACCAAAGTGAAATGGAATTCAACTTTTCAGAATTTTATACTATTTACTTCAATTGGATTAGATGTTTATCTCATTTAACAGAACATGCAGATGTTTGTCATTATTTGGAAAATTGGGTAATTCCATCCAACAAAGATATGAATATCAATTTAACAACAAATATGAAGCCGAACGATTCGATTAATATATGTCACATTTTATCAACACAAATTACAGCATTGTGTTATGCTTTAACCGATTTCATATACATTTTTGAAGAAAAACATGTATGTTCCAAATCATCTTATTAATTTTGTTCTTAATAATCAGTGCCTATTGAAGTATATGATGTCATATAATGTCTATTTACACGAGCTTATCATAAAACTTCAGCGTATTTTGATTTACCGTAGTCAGTCACCATTTTTTTACATGAAAATGTTCAAGACTAACTGAATAAACTACAATGTGAAGATGATTTTCATCACAAAATGACACGGTTTGAAAAACGTATTGAAACTAGAGAGGATTAGGTAGATGTCTTATCGTAGTTTGAAGTGTCACATAAGCGACCTAGCTCAACAATAAACCCAGAATCTTCCTGTTTTGTTTTCAGCACATATCCAACCAGTCAGAGATATGTGCAGTGTTGTAAAGTTTTTAAGTGGTTCGCTGAAGACGAATGTTATAAAGCTTTAACTGTAGTTAGACTTTCAAATCTTGAGTAGAGTTGCAGGTGCACATTCGTGAATTATACGAGACAGCTTTTCTTTGCTCCCTACTTCCCAGTAGTTCTACATCTGATGTTAGCTGATGATCAGAGCTGCCTGAATCTATTTAAATAAAATAAGATTGTTTTCATCATGTTTTAATGGAACTTAAACTCCACAAAGAGATTTAATAAATCACAGAATAAAGATTTAAGTATTATTTCCAATTCTTGTTAATTTGATTGAATGTGTATTCTTACTTGTACTAGCTATCTTGACGTTAGATGGTTGAAGGTAGTCGACAGAAAACCCTGGACCTAGGATTCAGGACTCATCAACAAGGCTTACTTGGAATCTCAAGGAAATTGATCCGCTCTGTGAGACTTGAACCCACTTAATCCAGCTTCATAGTCTAAGATGGTACCACTGAGTTATTCTGACGGTGATTGATCTCAATTAGAACTGGCATGTTTAGACTGATCGATCATTGGGTAACAAGCAAAGTCATACTTGTCTTAATGTTGTTCGGATTCTACTGATGATGGGTACCCTCTAGCACTAAACCTAGGTTCAAGGTTTCCTGTTGACTACTTCCAACCACCCAACATTAAAACGAAATCTAAGCAATGGTGAGGCACTTTGACTGATGACAAACTGCTACTTGATTAGTAGGATGCTATCAGTACTAAGGACCAGACAAATGCAACACAGGTCACTAACTCGTTATCAGTCTTTCTAAATGAACTTCAAGAATCTATTCCATTTAACGGTTATTAAGTAACTTTATAAGAGTGATAATTTTTCAATGCAAATTCTATTTTTTTTTAATATTTCATTTAGGAACTTGTTGTTAGGATAGCCTATGTACTTGGCAATCTGGCAGCTAAATGTGAACGTGCACGTATAGCGATAATACCTAATCAAGATTCTTTGCTGAAACTATGCAATTTATGTTATCGATATAATGAAATACAAAAGCATATTCATCAATCTGATCATTATACAAACAGAACTAATTTGAATAAATTAAAAAGTTGCACTGAATTTAATAACACCGGTGTGTTAAAAATATTACTTAGACTTTAATCATGTTATATGTTAAAAATGTTATACTAATGGCTGTTCACCTTTGGCTACAAAGATTTCGCGCCAATTCTGCCCATCTTACTACTTTCCTTACAAAATATTACACTAGATGAAATATTGTAGAACGTTTTTGGTCACTTTTCATTTACATGAATTTTAATATATTTGTAATACCTTCTGCTAGAGAATGGACAAAGGAATAAATATAATTTAAGAGTACAGCTATCAGATCACTTTAGAGAAATATTGTGCAACTTTTGTTCACCCTATAATATGTTCACAATAAACTTAATTAATCTGTTCAGTAACTAATTTTGTATAAACGAACCTATCAGTCTCAAAATAGTTTCAATATCTATGAGTTTATAGTGTATTATTATACTCGTCAATTTTCTTATGTTATTTTCAATATTTGTTACTACACTTTTTAAGGTTATACTCGTTAAAAAATTTTATGAACGTTGTAAATCCAATAATTTAATCACTGGCTAGTAAGTATATTCAGACAGTGAATAAGATAGAGCAAACATTAATTTATAATTAAATCAAGTATTCATATTATAGATACCCTTATTCTTTATTATTTGAATAACTTATATTTAGTCCTAAAAGAAGTGGAACAGTGTCAATAAAAATATTCTTGAACGACTTAAATAAATTTGTTATAATATCTTTGTTGAAATGGGAAATTAACATCTGGATTATTGTAGTTGTTCTCAGTTGGATTATTGTAATGGAACAAGATGGGATATAATATTGTGATAAATTCATAGCTCCTCATTTTTAGACCTAAATCTCATCTCTCTTGGTTAGATGATGTATATTAGATGTCAATCAGTTTTTGCCCACTACATCCGTTTCAAGGTTTATTTGCTCTATGGTTTCAGTTTACAAAGTCAGGTTTATTTATTTGTCTTTAGAAGTAACATAGCTTTATAAGAGTAAAACTGTCCAATAATTTAAATAAAACCTAATAGTTACTTACACGTTCATTTACATGGGCTCAAAGCGAAACAGAGAGAGTTGTATTTGATCTAACTGTACAGTTGTGAAAAGTAAATTAGTTTGATTACCACGTCATCACTAAAGTAGAGCACATGAGTGCATGCTAAACTTTCCCACAAGTCAACGAAGCTGGAGGCATTCAGTTAAACATATTTATTGAGGTTTATCTTGAAGTCATATTGTTAGTGCTTATTATACTATAGTATTTATGTTTTTATTCCCTTGTAATTGTTTTCATCCCATATTTTTCTCCTTTTATCATCCTTATATCTAGATTTCCTAAATAATGCTTTGACAGATAAACTAAATAAATCTGTCAAATCAACATATTCATTACAATATGATATACTTGTGAAATTACTACGGGTTATAGCAAATGTTAGCATTAGTAATACGGTTGGATTGATATGCACAGAAAACTTTGATTGCATAAATTTAATCTTAGAATTTATTGGTAAGTTTTACTGTTGCTTTTGGATAAGTTGTTGATTGGATTTGGAATTTTATACTTTTAATCAAAAACTATTTGGTCACTGTTATTAGTATTAACATCACACATAAATTAGTTCTACAGTCAGGCAGTTACAGATTATGCTTTAAATCACTGAAATTGACAGTAGTTGTATTGTGTTGTCTGCATTTAGAGACTTCAACAAAGTAGGCACTATTTATAAACAATGGTTATCATCATTTAATGGATCGACATTCAAACGAAATTAGGAAGGATTATTTTCAGTGATTTTTTGTGAGAAACTGCTTTCAAATAAAAAAAAACGCTGGATAAGATCTTTCAAGCTGACCTACCAAATAATCAGATTTGATGTTAACTACACTACCTGCTCCTGTAAGATATTCTCTTTAGCCGATTTTAATTACCATACTGCAATTATAAATGACGTGAAAAGCCATCACTGTAACTAACAACATGAAAACTATTCACGTGATGACAATCCTGACACATCGAAGAACTTGGATCTGTAAATTTGTTTCCTGACTATATCAGTATTGTCAAATGGTTTATAAATAAAATACAGTCTCTGCTACTCTGAAGTTCATAAAATAAAGTGGTTTTTGTCCCACTATGAACTTTAAATTTAATAACTTATTTATATTTTCCAATAATAACTCCATTAAACTGCATAAATGATTGATATTCTCATTCAAAATATGTAGTTTTGCATACATAAAGCTAAATGATTGGGTAATTGAAACAATTAGGTGAATCTAATTGTCATTATGAAAAGGAGTACAGAATATTATTTACAAATAGATCAATCTCAAAATATCTTACTTATTTCTTACTATTTTAACTGATTGCTACTCTTATAATATTTTTCAAGTTCGTATATATGTATTTGTAAGGAAAAGTTTGGCTTATTATTAGTAAGAATCTGCGATTAGCTTTCCTACTTAGTCAATCAGCTATTTAATTTAATATAATTTTTCGAGTTAGGAACGAGTTATTGCTTCATAAATTCGTTATGAAATAAACGCTGAACGGAACGATCTTTGTATACGACTCCTAAGCCTTCGTTGCACATTTTAAAACCGAGAATTATAGATGTTTTATGAGTATGGTTCAGAGATTGGTACGTTGTATTTTATCTAAATGGGATAACTAACATCGAGATTACTCTACAGCATACAAAGAGTCAGGGGTGAATGTATAAGAGTGGTTCAACTAACACGACTTATGATCTAACACTGAGCAAAGAATGATAAAAAGTTCATTAAAAATGTTTATACCACCTTAAAAAGGTAGAAGTAATATTATTAGCCAACTATGTAAATATACGCTAAAGGACATTTGTGCCTTGACAAACTTAAATCGTTATTGTACGAAACGTACACAAAATTACAATTTCAGAAGTTTACAAGAAATAAAACTACTAATTTCAGGAGATATTCAGATCATTTTTAAAGCTACAATGACTCTATAGAGTGAGTTTGTAAATAAAATCCCTCACTAGTTAATGGATGCGATAATATTGTGAATTAAAACTTACGTGCTGATTATTTATTCTTGCACAATTTGAGTTCTTAAACAATTTCATACTATTTCGGGCCTATCAGCCCATTGGTTCCAAATAAATAACTCAGTACCACGTCAAGGTTTCAGACGCAGTTTATAGATGCCTCATATTACATTGTAACCCTCAACCATTAAATTAGTAATATTTTATGCTAGTACCTACTATAAAATTAACGTTTTCATCTTTTGTTTTTTTTAAATGGATGCAACAGATAATCAATCTATTGGTGAACCTAATGAATTACTGCTAAACTGTTTTGCATGCTTAAACAACTTGACTTACTACATAAAACAAGAACTAACTGATCAGTCTGTTACAAAACAATGTGAAATAGCAGAAAGTAAGTTATTAAAATTATACCAATAAAAGTAATCACTTTCAGTAGAAATATATTTATGTGGAGGAGAATAGATTTCTGATAATTGTTACTTTTCCGGAGGATTAAAAAGAAACCTAGTGAATACTATTAATTATGATCAAAATGTATGGTATTTACATGATAGAACTTGTGGCAAAGCAGGACCACGAACGTGGTTCATACTAATCAAATCCATCAGTGAAAAAACCAAATTATCCGAGATTACTCTCGAATAAAGAAATTCTAGTTCATTATAGTTCTTACTACATTAGTCAGTCGTTTCACTAGACTCTCTCAACGATTCTTATGACTTCAATGTATTTTAATGCAAGTTTATATTACTTTTTTACATTGTCAGGTTTATTACGTGTAATAATGAAGACTAGTGGTTTTCAAGATGAGTTTCTTGGCATAATACGTGTATTTGGCAATCTTACACGGCATACAGCAATAAGGCAATGGTTAACTAATAATAGCAGTCGATTATTACAAGTCAAATATTCTTCACTTTTCAATGGCATCAGTCCAATCAGTAGTATTAATAGTAATATTACAGAATTGAATAATTTAATTCAACAGAATGCTTTTCTATATTTGGTCATACAAGCGTTGGATTCTCCACGACCAGATATTGTTTATAGTACATTAGGTGTATTGATTAACTTGATGACAGATTTGGACCAACGACCAATGTTAAGGATAATGGGAGGTCTATCAAAGTGAGTTGCTGTTTTCATGTAAAATCACCACAACGTATAATTTACAGTTTAAAGTGAAATACTGAAATACTGAAATACTTATTCACATACTGATAAACCCTGATCATATAAATAAGGGATATTAGCAATAATTCAACATTAAAAACATAAATTTCTCCTCCAGATCCAAAATTCAAACAATCCTTTATTTCCTTCTGGCTGATCAGTTGAATGAACCCCAAATGCCCTGGTACGACCGAGAGTGGGGAGAGTCAGCCCTCCATCTCGAAACGCTCTCACTTGGCCACGTGCATACAACCTCTGCCAGAGAAGTCCTACTCACTGCCTTTTCGTGTCGGGGGTGTTGTTTACGAAATTGAGAGGACGAAAAGCGAATGTCCGGTGCTTTAACCGGGTCGGTGGACACTTAGGGTCCACCTAGGGGTGTTGGAAGTCCCTGACTCCAAACCAATGGTGCACATGGACTCCAGTATCCTGAAGGAACAAATTGCGTATGAACCTATTGTTGGTCACCGGCTACCATTGAACCGCATCTCTTGATATTCCTCCACTGCCTTGTGGATCAGATCTTTAAGTCGAAGGCTCCGGGTGTGGCCCCCTAAGAAAATCAAACAACCAATTTCCCAATTTTATGATGATTACTCCTTGAATAAAGTATACTCATATTCAAAGTTCACTTCTTGAAACTTTCAAATCCTTTCGTTGGGAATTTTCATGTAGAAAACATTTAAAGTAAGATGTTCCTCTAAATTTCTTTCTAACTCCTGAAAAATGGGATATTCATTTATTCAGTTGAAGACTTCAGTGAGCTCACCAATTGAAGCATGGTTTTCAACAAACGTTATAGATAAGTTATTCGAAACATATTTATCTTTCAAAGAATTAACGCAATTTTTTAGTCAACTGCTTTTATCTTGAATGTAATTATTCAAGTTTTATTGAAATTCTGAATCGATCTACATTAGAACACCATAGAAAACCGAAAAGCATTGGACCACCGTGTCGTCCCAGTATGGGACTCATCAGCAGTGCTCATCCACGACTCCGTACTCGGTGATCCAACCCAGGAATTTCGGTCTCGCAAGTGAACACCTAATCTGTAGTTTTATTTAATCAAACGGAAGTCTTTGTGTTACTAATATTTTGTTATCTAAGAATATTTTATTTTATTGACCATAATGATATCCTAATATTTCAAAAACAACCTTTTATTTACATCTAACTTACCAGACTCATAGAAATTCTTCGTGATTTTGCTGGACATGATTGGGAGTTAGCTGGATTAACGTGTAAAACATTATGGAATTACACAGAAGTGGTTGATAATTCACAGGGAGAAATGTTTGATCAAGAATTAATGAATGAGTTGCTAAGTCTGCTAACCAAATTTACCGGTGAGTACGCATATCATCAGTGATCACATTCTTACATTTATCTCCTACATTACATAACAGCTATTTTCACTAGCTTGAAAGCATTGAGTGAGATTGGTTCACATTGTTACTGAAATCTGCTTCGCCAGTTTACAATAAATTGTTTTGAAGCTAAGTGCATTTTATAAATATTTTGTTCACCTATATTTTCAATTTGCCAAAATATTCTGTTGTCGTTATCAACGGTCATCGATTTTATGCGTAAAGTTCATTCTACCTACTTCTGTTTGAACGGCAGTGTGGTATCAATAGACCTCAGCTATCATACTTCTGATCTGAAAACAGGCTCTTGCATTTAATTACTATGCAACAACTTTTACACCACGATAATCTTCATGATTTCATTTAGAACTTTGACTATAATTTTCTAGGATCACAGTCCCCAAAATACGACTCACAATCACATCAACCTTTTGACACAAATGATTTTTCTTGAAAAAAGGCTCGTTTTTGAAAACGTTCAGAGATGACCGTACCCAGTGAATTGAAAACGTTTAAGATTCAATCTTGTAACGACACAAAGCGAGAAATGCTTTTAATGTTTTTCACTTACTTATATCTTGAGTAGTTTTTTATTACAAAGAAATTCTTTATTTCTTGTGAGAATACACTACTAATTCATTACATTGATCACTTCATCCTTTCATTTGTTTTTGTAACCAACCATTGCCAAAGGATTGTGCCTCCTAATTTTAATTATCAATCGTATTATTCCCAATACTGAATTTATTGATTACGTAGTATCATAATCTTGTCTTAATTTGTTGAACCTATCATTAATATCGACAGTTATGAACCTGGTAGAAATTATTATCTGTTTGTTATAAATCATAAAAATCTTAGCAACATGTTCCTTTGAAATTGTATAATTAATGATTCATTCTATTGGAAATAATTTCTCTCGAAAATGACATCAGTTGGAGAACCAGTTAAAATCGAGAAGCACAGAATAACTTTCGAATCTTGTTTTGGGGTTTATCAGAAATCCACATGCACTCAGGTCTTTCAGACTTCTCAACGACTATGGAATATCTGATAAACTAGTCGAAGTTTAACAGTTTATATGGTTTATTGACTCGATGAAATAACTCATATAAACTGGTCTTTTATTTTAAGTTTTTCAACGGTTATGAACGTGTAGTCTCACTTGTAATCTACAAAGTTTCTAACGAAAATATAATTTAACTAGATTTATTTATTCAAGATTGTTCTTTAGACTGAAGATTGAAACATTGTGATGATGAAATTTTTCCACATAAGTTTATTAAAAAGTTGGCATATCCGAGCTCAACTAAATCTGATAGTGAAGATAGTTTTTAAACCCTGAAAAATAAAGATACACGGCGTGGTCAGACAATTGTTTTTCGGTTCATTTCATTCATCAAGGTTTATTGAAATACTTTCTTTATATTGAACATAATATATTAGTCGTTTGTCATTCATGTACATTTTATATATGTTTGTAGATGCTGAACTTATTGAACAAATACATAAATCATTATTATCAAATAGTTTGGTAGCTGAATCTGATTGCTTATTACTGTGGGAATCTACATGGTCTAATGAATTTCTTCCTTTTGCAAATGAACTTATTTATCGTTTGTCAAATGCGTCACAATAAAATGATTTTAATTCACAAAAAACACCCATTCTTTTTCATTTACCACTTCAGTGGACTGCAATACTGTGGTTTGAGAACAAAAACAGTTAACATTATCACGATATCATTAGTGCGTGAAAACTAGATTCATGTGATATATTTAAATGAAGGTTACTTTATATTACAGATAAGCCTAATAACTGCCTATATTTCTTTAATATTATTCATAACCATCTGTTCACTTTTTTTAACATGAACATATTCTGCTCAATTTCACTTAATGATGATATAATTTTCACTGAAGTTTTGATATTGTTTGACCGGAAACCATTTCTTACAGTTCAACTGATTCCTTGTAATAATATCACTTAAATAATAAACATTTTTACCATTTATGCTAAGCACAATATTGATTGTTATTAGTCCTGAAAGATTTGTCAAAGAAGATATTACCGCGGATATTACTGACCGTTTATTTTAAGAAACAAACAAACATTATTCATCTGAGAATTCTAAACATTCAGTCTCGACATTTGTATGATTCATTTCCTTGTACTGTTTACTTTTGTATTTTGTTAATTTCATTGATAGGTTACAAAGACTTAGTTTTCTAGTATCTGAGTTAACTTTACGAATCTATGAAACCTCAGCAGCTGAATATCAGTCAGATATATTATATACTGCTTATTCAAATTATGATAAATACACTTGGCTCTCTCAAATATGAGTTCTATATCTACATAAGAAAAAACGCATTTATGTTGAAATAGCTTTAACCACTCCCTGAAAAGTAAGTTTTCACAGGTTAAAATAATAATATAAAACATCACAAACGGCCTAAACTATGTAGGTAAATAACTATACTTTTATCCAGATATATTTACTGTTACTCCCATCAGCGATAATTTACTGAATAAAACCTTAAACTTATTAATTGTTTGTTTATTCATACATTATTCGCCAGAAGATCATAGGAAATTGGTATAAGGCTATACAAGCCGACTACCACACATTATTAATAACATGAGAATTTTACCAAAACAAATACACTCACTCGAGCTTATGTCATACGAAGTCATAAATAACTATTAAATTCACTGGGACTTTTGCAGTTGACTGCCTAAACCACTCCTAAGGAGGCCATAAAAGACCGTGAACTGTATAGCAATACCAAGAAACGGCGAGACCATAATTTACGGACGAACCAATCAGACTTACGATAACAGATCTTCGATTTTGGAGCAAAATTCATTCACCCATTGGCTAAATTGAATCTTGGCATTATAGCTGATGCCATTTCGTGATGAAAAGTCTAAATCAAATTCCTAACCCTAACCATCAACTGTAAATCATAATCCTCATTCCTCAAAATGCTTTATAACCCTCATTTAGCCCTAATAAGCAGGTAGACACTCTCAAAGTCATTTTAGCATCACTCACAGGTCGTCCATAAATTATAGTCTCGCTGAATGTTTTCATTGAAATAACCTGGAGTAATTATTATGTTCCGTACGATCATCAGGTCTCATTTTATTCTCCCATGATCTATCGAGTATAGTCCGAGATGGTGAAAGTGGTTATAACAGAGTGTGACCATTAATACTATAGCCCACTTTGCCGCATGCTCTAAGAGATTCATTGTAAAAGTTTACGTATGTACTTATACGCGTGTGAAAACCACCCGTGCATTCACTTTATACAGCAAGAAATCTTTGACTATCTATGTTTTGGACGCTTTTTTACTGGCTTCTGCATTTATTTATATTGCCTTGTAGCGGTTTCCATGCCGAATTATTATACTTCGGATTTTTGCTATGTTTACTGGTAGCTTCTGCAGTATATCACCAAACATGGACTGTGTTACCAGTTCTTCAGGAAGATTGGCTGTTGATGGCCGTTGATTCCCACTTTTAGAACGAACTGAACTAAGTTGTTCCCGTTATTCGGGTATCATAATGTCCTTTGACGAACAGGAATATTTTTTCTAATCGTGACCATTGGGTTTTACTAGGTCCCAATATCTGTTGGAAAAGGCACTGTCCATTGATATTTTATTTACTTCATGCTTACAATTTGTTCTGATGGCATCTTTCCTGTGCTTTTATGTATCTTTGCTACGTTGTTATATAAAAGTTTCTAAACAGTATCATCTTTGTGATCTGTTCGAACGCGAAAAGGATTTATGAAAAAAACCGACTGTACTCATGTGCTATGGTTCCAAGAATTCCTTATTTCATATTCATATCCCTTTTGTGGAAAGAGGGTGAAAAATTTTATGAGTTTCGATGTGTGTAAGGATGTATATTTTGAATATTGTCGGAAGGGACCCCGGATTTGACTTTCCTGGTTGCCACCAGATAAAGTGAAGGGTATCATAGGCTTTATCTACATCCCGTTACTGAATGACACTGGTTTTCGAGCCTTCAGTTAGCAAGAGACGTATGTCGCTCTCCGTTGAGTCAGATGTCACAGAGAAGGTGGTCAGCCTTTAACTCTTACGCTGTTTGAAACAGCTTAACTTGACATTTTGATCGTTGAGTGTCAAACCACTCATTTGTGCTTGTTCCTTAAGTACTGCAAGGTCTTTTCGAAATAATATTAATCGGTTTTATATCTGACTGATCCTGATAGTTTAACACCCACAGAAACAAGAACTAAGGTTTACTTGGGGAGCCGCTAATAAACATTTGATACGAAAGATTGCTCATTATGGTACTTTATGAAATCTTAGATATAGAGGCTCTTCATTTTGAATTTATTTAGTTGACTTTAGTGCAGAAATCTCAGTCCTATATGTACTTTTTTGCCTCAAAAAGACAGATCTTCAGAACCTATTCGGTCGAATCCGGTCAACATGACAGAATGTCACACAATACCAAACGATTTGTCAAAGTTCAAGGAATAGTGATTGCAAGGGTAGTTTAAGATCTCAGCTCTTGCACACTGATGACCAATTCGAGGTGCACAATGCAGTTCATGAAGCCATGATTTGTTTCAAGAAAAGAGGTTATGTACGCTTACACACTACTTCATTTGATCATCTGCCAAGCCTCATAACACATTCGGCAGCACTGAAGTCATCCCCCAAGTTCTGTAGCAGCTTAGATCTTTTCTGCCTCTCCCCATGATGAGTGGAGAGCTGATAACTAAATTTCACCCCATCGGTAACCTCTTTGAATCCAATGCGTGCTGAGACAGTTCGCATATCGAATGCAAAACGGTTTTGGGACATTTTTTCAGTACCGCGGAGTGTATGTCAATGCGACCAGGCGACACGCCAGATCTGGATTTCAATAACTGTTGTGACATTACGTCCGGCCAGTTGTCACGTAATTTATTCACCAATCGAAATACGACTTATTCACTCTTGTGCTGTACTAAACCAATGACGTTCAACCGGTCTGATCAGCCTAGCGTCCTTATCGGTCCTTCGTTTGCCTAGACCGTCCAATTGAGTCCAGAACACCAATAACAGCTTCCACTATGCAAATCATTCATTTCAAACATACTTGGTTTACCTACCAACCAAATAGACCTCATCGCACCATAAAATAGGAAATAACGTTTATACAAGATCAGGCCGAAAAGTGGCTGCGAATGTGGGAAACGGTAATCAAATAACTGAGTATAAATTGAGAACAGTAAATCGTACAATAATAATCTATAGATCAAAATGAAGCTTATAATAAGGGAATATGGATATATGTAATCTAGTTACTGAATAGTTATACAATAGGAATATATACATATATTATATTAGTCCATTAATAGTTCTCGGAAGTTACTCTTAATTTAATCTTCGTTATGATATAACAGTAACCTTCTTAATGCTGGCCCAAATGATTACCTCACAGTGCCCTTCCATATGATCCCTAATAGAATATGGGCTCGAACCCACTGACTAGATGTCTGATTTAGTTGCTTGCTATGGTGCTCGCTGAGTGCTTGCGTGGTTTCGAGGTCACCGAAGGCAACTTCCTTTGTTTCAGCAATGAAATAGTTCCCTGATTCGTACTTCGTCTGTTAGGCATAGATATATATGTAGTTGTGTAGGAGTATGGTCTACTATGATATTAGTACTGCTCTAATAATAGACTCATCCTAAAATCGTAGATTTGTCATGATATAAATGCCTAATCTATAAGATCTTACGTGGAAGTCACATCACCGTCTACACCAACTCACTGCATTGTAACAACTACCAATACATGATGGAGAACAAACGTAGGCTAGAGATAGAACAATATATTTAATATGAATAAAAGATATAAGGTAACATTCAGCAGAGACCACGCCTGCATGGCCGAGCCATGCTATGCGAATAACTCCAATTAACTCAGTTCATTCTTCGCATTCTCTTCATTGTTGGATTTTTCTCCGTATTAAATGTCGAATGTCTATTTCCCACATTGTCTCGTATGAAAACCCAATGGTACTACAGTTGTATCGGCCATAAGCATAAGCCACCCGTTCGAGGTATTTTGTATTTTTGATACCAATTGTTCACTTTTCTAAATAAAAACCGTTTAGATTGAACACAGAGTTTGTGTTTCGAATTAATTTAAACGAGTAACTCAAAAACGCTTGGTACATTATACAAAAGAACGTAGTCTGGTTCAATTTTGGTTCGCTAGTTTTGCGTTCAAACATAATATTGGCAGTTCGGTCGTTATGTCTACGATTTGGTCCTTACACAAATGACGAAGTCTCCTTTCGATAGCACCCCTGTCAGGCAGGACGCAATATTTTCATTACGGCTGTTTATCGAGAGCTGATCTGTTTTTCACAACACTGCTCCTCGACAAAAGAACACTGGAGTGGATCAGAGAGTTTAGTCTATCATCCACTCATTTCGTGCCGAAGGTTAACCCTAGTTCTGGTGATAGAAGAAACGACGCTATTAGTGAATAGGTCTTTATTTATACTGAAAGGTGGAATGGAGAGCAAGTTTAAATTTTCACAAATTTAAAAGGCTTTTCAACATTCAGCATAACATAAGTGGAAATATAACCCCCATACAAAGTAAAGAAAGCGAGTGAATATTTAGGCTTTAATGTTCTGAAATTTATCTGGGTGTTTGTGGTCAACTCCTAGCTGATTAACCTAACTTGTTATCTTTCTACTGGTTTTGATGAAACGAGAGTTGCGTTGTTACTGCTACAACCTAACAGCCAGTTTCTGTTCATTCCAATTAACCACCAATGAAAACGACTTTTGAGTGGTGGGTGTTCCTTTCTAGCTAGTTCGGGATGTGTGCTACAGTGATTTTTGTTTCCTTGCTCACCAGTACTGCCAGAAGTAAAAATCCGTGTTGATTTTGGGTCTTTTTTGCTTTGCATAGTGTCCTGTTTGGTAACTGAGTCGTGTGACTAATGCTGTGTGTATCTTTTGGGGATGCTCCAGGTTTCGTTTCCGAGTTCTTAATGGGCGCGTGGTTCTATACATAGATCTTCGACTTATCATTACCAACTGAATTAAATCTCTGACCATGCATATTACTCGAAAAACAGAAGGAAATGACAGAATTTTAAGAGGACAGTGTTTGGATGCTCTGGCAAATGACTTCCCGTGGTTTCGATGAACGCTCCACAAGTC